ACCCAGTTACGTGAACATAGTTCACTCGCTCTCTTTAGCGCGACCTAGATCTTACTTTCTTACCTACAGTAAAGTGTAAAAAGGTAGGCGTTGGCCATGATCTAATGCAGGAGGCGCCAATAAATGTACTCTTACAACGCCTTTGGCATGCTATGGCAACATTAAAACAACACTGCAGATAGAAGGGTCTGTTACTTTGCTTCAGAGCATGGAAATGACACAGAACCGTCGATGATATGAAAAGCTGTTGGGCATGTAATAAACCTCAACCAAAAACCAAATGATTTAAGAGGCCGGCTGCTTTGATGCTTTGATGCAATATGCCAGGGCCTTTTGGGGCGATATGTCGGATATATGCGAGAAGAAAAAGGTCGATACTGAAGGAATTATCTTCCCCAAGAGTGGGTCAAACTTGTGCCATTTGGATGTAAGGCAATAAGTCTTATTGCCTCACGGTTGTTATATTTATTTATAAAGTGTTACGTATATTAATTTGTCTTTTGATATGGTGTGGGTTTCATCTTCCTTTTACCATCGAAAGCTTATTATATAAAGGCAGGACCTCGAGATTTAACGTTTGTGTTTGACAGTACGGATCGAGGTAAATGGTGAGGATAAAAATCCCCCCCCAAACCCATGTTCAAGAATGCTGAATAATCCTTCTGGGATTCAGAACAGAACAGGACACACTAAAGTTAATCTTAATGCCAGCTGTGCTGAAGAAATATGAGACATTCCTACAGTCATCAAATCAAGACAAACACAATTAGCAGCAATAGTAACAACAGTCAATAACACATAACTTATAAAGCACCGTTCTATAAACGATCAGTGAATGCCCATGCACACTCTGCGCCTACCACGTACACATCATCAAACTCAAACTTTCGTAATACTCGGTAGACAGCGTTTTCTAGAACGGGGAAAACGATTCTAACAAAACAACAGATAAGGGCTAGGCTGGAATTATTTTCAAGACCTTTGAGGGAAGACAATTCCCCTCAAACATGAGTTGGAATCTTGGCCATGTGCAAGCTTTTAAACATTTGTATCGTATATTGTAACAGCAACCTCCCCACTGTGTTTGAAAAGGAGATTTGACAGGGGAGATTCCGTGCTGGCGTTTGGAAGTCAGCTGTAGTATTTTAAGTAAAGTAAAACAGAACGGTCCTATCTTAGGGAACTTCTTCTTTGAGCCGATGAACGACATTTACACAAACTGAAAAGATTACGTTGGACTACATTTTGTCGCTTTAAAAGCACATGAGCATTTAATGAAAAGTCAAATGCACAATTGCATAAAAGATAATATGTTCCTTAGAATCGCATTAAAAAGATTTCATAGTTCCGCTTCAACACTATTTATTGATCTTAGACTAAGCTGGAGTTTGAAACAAAACATAAAGGTATGTTCTTGAATAAGCGTAAAAGCATTCTATGGACATATGCACTCATACTCACCACAGTACATGAGTATATGTGGTACAACATCAGTCCTCTATGATATATGGCTGGATGCGTACACAAATGCAAGGCCTATATCTATGCCTGTAACACGCGCTATGTCACATAATTACATTTGTTAAGGGCACGGAGTGAAGAGATGCCAACTTGAAAGCCTACAGACTTTTTAAAGGGGAACGTGGGTGGG